TGTAGATATTATTGATTTCAGAGAGACAGGAACATCAGTGATGAGAGAGAATCATCGGTTGCTGCCTCCTGTATGCCCCACATTGGGGATCAAGCCCACAACCCAAGCATGTGCCCTGACTGGGAATCGAACTGTGGCCTCCTGGTTCAGCGATTTTTAACCAGTGTGATGTAAGAATGTTTAAAACGTGCACTACTATTTGGTCAGGGGCACTGACCTCTTTTCCCTTAGATTGTCAAATAAAAAAGTGACAACAGCCAACACAACAATACCTGTCCAGTGTGAATGAATCAACATTATACCTATTTTGTGTGTATGTGTCCAATCAGCAAAAAGTATATTTCCTGGTGTGCCACAGAAGCTTATTAATTAATCAATGTGTGGCACAGCATGAGGAAGGTTGAACATCGCGGACTTAGCGCTTTCCCACGATGCTGGGGGTAAAGCATTTTATGCATGGAGAGCGGCAGCGCCCAGTCCCGTCTTTTCCCTCTTGCCCCGTGTAGAGCCTCCTTGGCTCCTGTTAACATGCAAAAGGCTTTCTTCCCAGGAGCCTGCAGTCGTCCGGCCGTGTGTACCTCTGTCCCAGGGGTTCCACTCAGGGCGGTTTGAGCAAAACCAGCTCAGCCTCTGGATTCACAAAGGGGGATGGAGGGAAATGGACGTATCCCCGGGATCAGCCAACGCCGTCTTCTTTCCATCATCTGTTTCACTCAGAGGACACTTAGCACCTAATGTCACAGCTACTATGTCAGAGGTGACCCGAGTGGCACCAAAGGGCCCAGTTGGACGCATCCCTCAGTGTCAGAGACCAGCGCTCCTCTCACTCCCTCCTGGGCGGTGGTCCCGGGCGCTGAGCCGCCTTGTGGTTGGGAGGTTTCCAGCGGCCGAAGGGGGAGAGGCCTGCGAAGGAGTGAACTGCACACCCAGCTGCGGACGGAGAAGACGAGATTCCTGGCGAGGATGCCTCTGGGAGCTGAGCTGTCCATCCAGGGCTCTGATGGATGTCGGAGGACCTGCCAGAGGCCGCTCTCCAGCCGGGGAATGCAGGCTGGGGCTGGCACCACTGAGCGAGGTGCCCCGGGACCAGCGCCAGGAGGTAGAACATGCTCGCGCCACCCCCCCACCACGTGTCTAAGGCATGAAGGGGAAAAGTCAGTGTACGGAATGTGTAAATGATCATAAACACATCCGTGCGGATTTAACTGGGAGCATCTGCCACGGACAGTGTCTGACTGGATGGTCCCTCGTCCTCGGTGAAATCAGACACAGCCACGTGGTGCCGAGGGAGCCGGCTCCCACGCACGTGGGTGTCGCACAAGTGTCTCTATGAGGCTGTGATCTGCAACGCACAGGGAGCTTCTTGCCAGCCTGGAGCCGATGCACCCGGGCCTGTTAGCTGGGCTTTAGCTGAGCGAGGCTGGCTGCTTTGGTTTGGTTAGGGGGTCGCTGTGTGCCTCCAGCTCTGGGGTCATCCGATCTGTGAGAGGGGGGTTGGGGGGGGGCTTGTGTGTGTATGAACTGGATGAGCTCCCCAAACAGCAGGGAGCACCCTAAGGGCCACCACGCAGCCTTCAAATTCACGTGGCCCATCGCATGGGGCCCCGTGGGCGCCCTGCCCTCCCTCCGCAGGGCTGGGCTCGGAACCACTTCCCCAGCCACGGAGCCCACACCCCTCACACGGGCCCATGGTGACCAGAGATCGGGGAGCACTGGGTCTTCTTAGCACCTCCCTAGCTGACACAGATTTATTACGCCCCTCCCACAGCCCATGGTCATAAGTGGGAGTTGGTATCATTTCTTTTCTTTTTAATCTATTTTTATTGATTTCAGAGAGGAAGGGAGAGGGAGAAAGAGAGAAACATCAATGATGAGAGGGAATCATTGATCAGCTGCCTCCTGCACACCCCACACTGGGGATCAAGCTCACAACCTGGGCCTGTGCCCTGACCAGGAACTGAACCGTGACCCCCTGGTTCATAGGTCGATGCTCAACCACGGGGCCACACCGGCCGGCTTCATTTCTTATCAGCCTGTGAATTTCAAGTCTGGCTGAATTCCTTTTCCTGTACCTCACAGTGGGGAGTGGGGAGTCCTTTTTAATCAGACACTTTGGAAGCAAGGCCATAACATACAAAGTTAGTATATAATTATCAGTTATATTTTCATATGCCTCTAACAAATGCTTAAAAATTAAAAAAATTAAAAAAATAGTACCATTTACAATGCCACTGAAAGCGTTAATACCTAGGAATAAATCTACTGGGAGATGTATAAGACCTCTGCATAAAAACATCCAAACATTTCTGAGAAAAAACAGAAGAGACCTAAATAAATGAGATGTTTCCACATTCATTGATTGGAAGACACAATATTGTTAAGATGGTTCAACACAGTCTCTATAAAAATCTCAGCAGGCTTTTTCTTTCTTTTTAATCCTCACCCAAGGATATTTTTCCATTCATTTTCAGAGAGAGTGGGAGAGGGAAAGACAGAGAGAAATATTGATGTGAGAGAAACACATCGATTGGTTGTCTCCTGGGGCCCAGGCTAGGGAGGAGCCTGCAACCAAGGTACGTGCCCTTGACAGGAACCGAACCCGGGACCTTTCAGCCCACAGGCTGATGCTGTACCCCCTGAGCCAAACTGGGTAGGGCCCAGCAGGCTCTTTTTGACTAAATAAGATTCCAAAAGGATCTACAATATTCAAAATAATTTTGATTAAAAAACAAACAAACTTGGGGGACTTATACCTGTGATTCCAAGATACAGTCTAAAACTACAGTAGTTGAGACAGTCGGCTGTTGGCATAAAGACCCGCATATAAAGCAACTGAATAAAACAGATCGATAGACCGACACATAGTTTTTCCAGAGAGATGCCAAAGTAATTCAAGGAGAAAGAAAAGTCTTTGTGATAAATATTGCTAGAACTGAATATGCCCTATTTATGCAATGGAATATGACACAAAAACAAAAAAGAATGAACTATTGATATGCTCAACAACACATTCTCAAACACATGCCAAGCACAAAAGCCAAACTCAAAGAAGTTCCTACACTTTGATTAGGGGAATCCACATAAAGGCAAAACCGATCTTCCTGCACACATCCATGAGGAGGTGAGGGGGAGGTGGGGAGAGGGGACTGTCCATGAGGAGGTGAGGGGGAGGTGGGGAGAGGGGACTGGTGGGAGAGAGTTCGGGGAAATGTCTGATGTAATGAAAAAAGTTCTGTCTTCTTTTGAAGGGTGATTCCCAGGTATCTACCATCTCAAAGCTCATTGAGTCGAGTACCTGATATCTATCCATCTTATCTATGTTAGTCACACCTAATTATCACTTTTAAAATGAGAAATGGAAAATTAGTAGGGGAGGGAGATTTAATTAGCGAACGGCCCTCACATCACATCGGTCCTCCCCTTCCTGAATGCTTTCCAGAACACATGTCTTGTGACGGGGATGGCTTATTCTGCATGACTTTGTTTTTTAATCCTCACTGGAGGAGTGAGTATATATTTTCCATTTTGAGAGAGAGAGGAAGGGGGGGGAGGGGAGAGAGAGAGAGAGAGAGAGAGAGAGAGAGAGAGAGACATCGATTGGTTGCCTCCCGCACGGGAGATGGGGGATCGAACCTGCATCTGAAATACGTGCCCGTGACTGGGAATCGAACCCGAGACCCTTTGGTCCTCAGGCCGACAGTTAAACCAACTGAGCAAAACTGGCCAGGGCTGGGAGAGACAGTTTTAAGAAATAAAGTCATATTCAGCAAGAAAAATCAAACTGAAAAACAGACATCCCCATCTCTCCCTTAGAATAGGCTGGGTAGAGCCTGCCGCCAGGCTATCTTACAGAATTCTGTATACCAGGTTCTCTTTTCATAGAACTGAAGGTTCTGCTTTTGCAGGTGAATCCAGATTCCTCGCATCAGCCATGCTGAGTGTTTGTTGTCTCATTTGACACCAGACAATGCACGGGGGCCCCTTAATTCACCTCTGACTTCTCCCTTGGGGTCTACCAGCTCTAACTGACCCTGAGACTTGCCGTCAGCCTGTGACAATCAGCCCAGATCACTGATCACGTGAGTTAAGCCCTTACCTACTAATGCCAGGCACTTCCTCATATTAAGATTTGTCCTCACACCTGCCCTACGAGGTAGGACCATCATGATTCCCATTTCACAGACGAGGAAACTGAGAACCAAAGAAGTTACATAACTTACATCTAGTGAGTGGCAGAGCTGGGGTCCGAATCCAGGGAGTTTGCCCCCAGAATCCATGTTCTGAGCCACCGTCTCGTGCAACCTGGCTCGTGTTTTAGCAAAAGGGAGTGAATGAATTGCAGCAGGCAATGCTCCTGGCGTGGGGTCTGATCACGGGACGGCCTTGGGAGGAGGGCAATTTCATGGGTGTGTGTGGCCTTGACATTTACAACGTTGCAGCTGCCGATAAAGTGCCTCTAGGGTTATACCTGCACTCATCACAGAGGGAACATCACCCCCCTTCCTGGTGGGATGAGCTCAGAGCCCCAGCAATTCCTCCGTGGGGGATGCAGTGCCGCTTCTGTGTGGCCTCCTGGGTCCGCACGGCCCAGAAACGTACGGCACGGATCCCTCCTTGGGAACCGATTAGTCTCCATGCACCCCGAGCCTGTGCACCCCCAATCACTGTCCCACGTCCATACTCCGTGGTGAAAAGGCAAACAAACCATCCCTGGTCCCCAAGGAGGCGAGGCCGGGACGGGCTTTGCTGACGTGCCCTAAGTCCAGAACACACATCTTTCCCGTCCGGAACCAGAGGCCTCATGAAACACGCGGCGGATCATCGCTGACCACACAGCCCGCTCCCTAAGGAGATGGTGTTCCTCACCCGCTCCTTCCTTTCCCTTCCCGCTCGCTCTGTTCACTGCCCGCTCTCATGACATAGCCTCCCGCTTGGCAGGGATTCCATCCCCAAGGGAACGCTGAGCAGAGATGTCACTGACAGACCGTCATGCCACTCACCGTGCTGGCGTGTCCTTGGCCGCTCCGGCACTGCGTCGGCACGCGCCCCCAGGTTCCTCCTACACATCGTCCTCAGCCTCTCGCCCAGGTGCCCCTGGCTGCGCCAGGCCTGGCTCCGTCCCGTGCTCTGCCTGACTCACCTCCTATCAGATCACCCGGCCGCCTGGTGGGCCTCTCTCCTGACTCACCACCTATCAGATCCCCCTGGCCGCCTGGTGGGCCTCTCTCTCCTGACTCACCTCCTCCTATCAGATCCACCCGGCCGCCTGGTGGGCCTCTCGCCTGACTCACCACCTATCAGATCCACCTGGCTGCCCGGTGGGTCTCTCTCTCCTGACTCACCACCTATCAGATACACCCGGCCGCCTGGTGGGCCTCTCTCCTGACTCACCACCTATCAGATCCCCCTGGCCGCCTGGTGGG